TGTTTCTGTAAAAATGGCTGCTCTAGAGGGAAAGAGTGGAGAAAATTGGAGGTTTAGAGCCAGCAATTGAGCACACACTGTGTGCCACGCACTGTTCTAGGCTGTCAGGATACAGATGTGAATAAAACAAGACAGGGTTCCTCATCTCATGGAACTAGTGGAAAGAGACAACAAAACAAAAACCGAGTATGTAAATATAAAAGATAATTTCAGAGAGGGACAGACACTATAGTAAATAGAAAAGAAGGTGACAGGAGGGCAGCTGGGGAAGCTGGTGCAGCTCAGGGAAGCTTTTCTGAGGCAGTGGCTGAGACAACGACGAGACAGAGCCAGCCAGCCATGCAAAGGTTTAGAGGGAGAGCATTCCAGGCAGCGAGAACAGCATGTGCAAAGGCCCTGTGAAGGCAATGTTTTGCATGTTCAAGAAAGAAAGGCTGGGGTGACTGGAGAAGAATGGGGGATGGGTGGAGAGTGAGAGGAGACGAGGCGGAGGGTTCAGGGGCCAGTGCGAGAACAGGGAAAGAGCGGCATGCCGAGCGAGGTGCATCTCTAGGGGACTAAAGATCTCGGCAGTTTGCCTTTCAGCTCCTTGGCTTTTCCATACGCGCAAGAATCACCATCCTTCCCTGGCAGGGCTGCGACAGCCACCCCATGAGATGGCTGGGAAGTGCTTCGCAGAGACCCGTGCACGGTGTTTAATAACACGGGTTCCTTGGCGTTCCTCTCCCCCAGTCCCTTGTGCCCAAAAGTCAGCCCAGCACAGAATCGGAGCAGCTGCTTGGTGCAGAAATATTGCAAAAGCTTGTCCAGACATTTCCAACATATTTTTGGGGGGCCAAAAACCCACTCGCAGCTAGAAAACGGCATTCTGGGGATGGTGCCGTCTCCCTGGACAGTCTGGTCGGGCTGCTCCCGCAGCCCGGGAGCCCCGTGAGGGCCAAGGCGATGGGGGCTGGGCCCTGCGTCCTCACAGCTGCCCAGGCCCGGCCGCTGGGGTGGGCCCAGGGCTTGGCCTCTGGAGCCAGACAGGCTGGGTGCAGATCCCAGCCCTGTCGTTTCCTGGCGCAGCTGTAACTTCCCTGGGCCTCATTGTCCCTGTCTGTAAAATGGAGCTGTGTTTAGGATGAAGTGAGTGGGTGAATGTGAAGTCCTCAGAACACACACAAGGCTAAGACATTATCATCAGACCTGGTGGGACTTAATTCTTCCCGTTGGTTATTATCATCCTCCAGGCCAGGTATCACCATTCCAGGCAGACAATTCTACCAGGTTGGACCACCCCAGCTAAGTACCCTGTCCCCACACCTCCTCCTCCTGCACCCCAACCTCACCCGGAGCCTATGGGGCGCCTCCACAGGCCCCCGTGTAGCTCTGGCCACACCAAATAGTGGTGGTTTGGGAGCTGCCCGGCCCAGGGTCATGCCTCTTTCTCTCCGCGTTCCAGCAGGGGCCTTGCCCTGGGAGGCATCTTCAGTAAAGGCTGGTTGAACAAGTGAATGAATAAATGACTTCCACGTGGTCACAGAAGCAGCCCACCTTGGGACAAGTGACCAAAGCTCTCATGCTGGCATTCCAGCCCATTTTCAGGGGGCTCCTCCCTCAGTTCTGACAGCAGATGGGGTCTTTTCCTTCCTTGTTCTTTTAACTGAGTCCCCAGCGCCTCCCCTGGGCCCCTGGGAAAGACAGCCATCCTTGTTAGCTCAGCAGCCTGGTAAAAGGCACACCTGGCGGAGGTGCCGTGGGGTCTGAGGTTCTTTTCTTCCCTGAGAAGCTGGCACTGGAAACCTCAGGGGCAGCTGACAGCCCCTGTCCCCCTGCCTTCCACGCTTCCCCTTGAGCCCCAGAGAGTTAGGACCCCATTGCTCCACTGTCTCTCCGCACCCTGCCAATTCTCCCTGAAGGATCTCAGCAGTCCCTCCATTCCCAAACCTACCACGCCTCAGGCTGATGCAAAGCGCCATCATGCCCCACAAACCTGTCTTCCCCAGGGCACCCGAGGTGGACCCCCTGCTGACCCTCCAACCGCACCTGGGCTTTTCCCGCCGGCCCCGAGAAAGTCATGCATCCGGCCCACACAGCAGCCCTCACACTATGACTGAGCACAGCTACTGTCATGTCTGGGGGGCGACTCAGACGTGTGTGCATGGCATTAACTGCCCAAGTCTCTCGCGGGGACTGGTGCTAACCAGCCGGACCATGTGCCTTTCACTGCCACCTGCCTTTCTGGGCTTAGTGCCCCTTGCCTGCTCCTACTTGGGTTTTCTGCGGTCACCCAAATAAGCAACTTGCTCTCGAATCCTTATCTCAAGACCTGCTTCTGGGGGAACCCAAACGGAGACTAGGACAATTGTTTTAGCAAAAAGTTCTTGACTCCACCCACTTTTATCTCTGTTTTATCTGCAGCCCCCACCGTCTCCCCCGGAGTGACAGCAACACCATTGAAGCTGGTCTGCTGGCCCCTGGTCCCGCTCCCCAGTCCTTTTCCCCTCTTTGCAGATGGAGGGAGGGGTGGACATGGGCTTAGAGATACGTAATCACATCAGTGACGGCAAAGGGGTGGGCACCCATAGGTTTACATTTGTGAGTATGCAAAACACAAAGTATAGATAGAAGTGTATAGACATAGATGTAGACATAGATACAGATAAATAATCTGGATAGTCTCTTCCCCACTCAAAATGCCCTGGGTTCCCCGATGCCCAGCCTCCTCTTCCCATGGCTGCCCCTGCCCCCTGCGGCCCGCCTCCCCGCCCCGCACCGGACCACCCTCCCGCCACGCTGGCTTCCAGTCCGGGCTGCTCCTGCTTCTGGACTTTGCACCTGCAGGCCCCTCTGCTTGGAAGGCTCTTTGTTTGGCTGACTCCTCTCACCCTTTAGGTCCCAGCCCCTCAGAGAGGCTCTAAAGGAGCCTCCCCTTTCCTCTTTATCATCACGCATTCCCTCCTTAGCACCCGAGATGGTCTTGTTTGTTCCTGAGTCCACTTCCCACTTGGTTCCCTCTCCCCCTAGACTGCCAGCCCCATGGGCAGAGGGCCAGAGCTGCTCTTGCTCACAGTGGTATGTCCAGCGCCCAGCATGGGGCCAGCACAGAGGAGACACTCAATGGATGTTTGTCAAAAGATAAAAGATGGAATTTTGCACCGGCTGTTGACCTGGCAAATAGAGCTGATGCCGGTTTCCGTGCTCAGGAGATGAAGTGGGCACCTGGCGGGGGGAGGCTGCAGGCCCTAGGCTGGGGGTGCAGGGCTTCTGCGGCCCCCCGGCCCTGCGTCTCCTCATTCCTCATTCCAGGGCTCACCGTTAGGGCCAGACTGGCTCCCTGGCCTTTCATCATCAGGCCTCAAGGATTTGCAGGCCTTTCCTCCTCCCAGCTTCCCAGCTGCCCCCAAACAAGCCCCCAGCTTCTCTCCACCCAGGGTGTCCCGCCCACTCTGCAGGGGGCCGGCGGAGGTTTTGCCCAAGCTGGGGAGCCGGGGGCACTACAGTGCCCGAGGCCCTCGGCCTTTGTTCCTACAATATGCTTCCTGAGCCCCCTGGTGGATTTCTGTTCCCTTCTGTTATCCCTGAGGTATAACAGAAGCACCTACTGCCCCCATACCCTGGCTTTTCACCCCTTCCTCCAGGAAGCCCTCCACCCTAGCACAGACACCTGTCATGAAACCATGGTGTCAGAGCCCAGTGTCCACTGAAGTGCCACCTCTTGTTTGTTGGGCAGCTCACCTTCTTTGGCAGGTGCCTCCTACAGGAGAGAAGACCAGGCCTTCTCCTCTCCTCCAACCAGGCCTCCTCCCACAGTCCTCACCCACCTCCGTCTTCTCCCTCTGGGTAGAGCCATTTCTCGCTCAGCTTCTAGGATCACAGGATTTGCAGTCAAACAGACTGGGTTTAAATTCTCACTGTCTTAGTCTGTGTCTCCCCAGAAGCAGACTCTGAGGTAGGAATTCAGGAGTAGGGAAGATCTAAAGGAGGTGCAAGGATGCTGGATGGAGAGGAGGGAAGTGGCAGAGGGAAGAAGGCGGCCAGCCCAGGGCGAGCTGCTGACCCTGGTACAGCTGACTTGAACCCTGCAGGGGACTCGGCGCGACCCCGCTCTAGGGGCTGGGGCGAGGGAGCTCCACCACCGTCTGTGGGTGCCGGCAGGGGAAGCCCGAGGCACAGAGGTGCGGACACTGGCAGCAGGAAGGCCACAGAGCTACCTAAGAGAACTGAGAGCTGTGCGCAGGGCGCTGACAGCGTCTGCTCTAGCTGCTCTGCCCCTGACTCGCTGAGCTGTGTGACCTTACGCAAGTTACTCCACCTCTCCGAGCCGGAATTTCCTCATCTGCAAAATGTGGGTTGTTATTTCTGTAGGGGTTGGGGGTCAGCAAGAATATGAGATCAGGCATGAAAAGCCCTTCGTACGGGGCGGGATGGGCAGGGAGCACGTGGTGGGCGTTCAGCTGGCTCAGCTGCAATTCTGCCATTTTAACTTTAATCTCACGTTGGCTTTCTTTTTCTGCCTGGAGCAAGGCACTTCTCTCTTTTTACCTCCCCTTTGCTTCCTGGCCCAGAGATTTGTTTTCTAGTGGGTGCCCTAGATTCTGTCTATGGTGTCCCCCACAGCGAGGCGTATGAAGTCAATGCATCCTAAGCTGCCAGGAACATCCACAGCTCAAACAAATCTTGTCCACTCTCAGCTCCCCAGCTTAGTTAGTGCAGCACAGTGGCTGTTCTCCCGTTAGGCCCATGGCTGGCCCAGGCCCGGACTTGTGCTGCGGTTCACCTGCCTGCCTTTAAGCACTCCTACCTCCCTCTTGCTTGTTTAGCAACCTGCCCCCACGGCAGGCTGTCTCATGCAGAGGACTTGCTATGCTAAGACACCAGCCTCAGTTTCCCCATCTGTAGAATGTGTTTGTGGGAGAAAGCAGGGGTTCAGGGGTTTGCCTGGCTCGTGGCCAGGGCTCTTTCTCGGCAGATGGCCCAGGACCTGTACACAGGCTCCTGGCGACGAGGCCACTTACGGGCTGGGTGTCTCTCGTGGCGGCAATCTAAGCGAAGGTCCTCCTCCTCGTTCCCATCCCCCTTCTCGATCCTGGAAGAAAAGAACCCAAAGGCTGTGTTAGAAGGAGCGGGCTGAGCTGGCAGAGGCCCAGGACTGAGAAGCATGGCCCCTCCCCCCAGAGGACATTTTGCAAAGCAGCTCTGTGCTGCTGCCCACGAGGCCCTCGCCAGGGAGCACCCCGTGAGATGGGCACCACTATCTCCACTTTGTTCGTGAAGAAACAGAGGCATTGGGCGGTGACGGGACCAGTAAGGTGCTACAGAGCTAATAAATTAGAGGCCGAACCCGGATGAAAACCCACGTGCTGTCACAAAAAGATGTTCCATTAGGTGCAAACGGCAGGTTACAAAAGAATGTGTACAGTGTGATTTAAAAAATGATGCATTGGTATGCACAAAAGCTATTTGGCTGAATATATACCAAAAGCCTAACGGTGACTCATCCTAGATAATGAGAATATAGTGGGTTAAACCTAGAGCCTTCTTTTTCAACTTACCTCTGTTTTCTGATTTGGAGCAGTGGGCTTTCATTAGCCGTGTCACTTTGTTTAACCGAATTAGAACACTTCCAAAAGCCACGTCTGTCTGTAAAAGGAGCCCTGGGCCTCTGCCTTCCAGCACTGTCTGCTCCCACCAATAACTGTGCGAGCGTCTCCCACATGGCTTCCTTCTCCTCTGGCATCTCAAGATCACCCCAGTTCAGAGGGGCTGTCTCTTCGGGTGTGGCCGGGGTTGGCAAGCCCCAAGCAGACACACAGGGTCAGGGCAGAGGCGGCTGCAGGTTCTCAGACCTGGCCGTGGACTGACACCCTCAGCCCCACCCTGCCGATGCCCGGGCCCGAGGGCAAACAGGGCCGAACACCCGCCTCGCACCCACCTACTTGGGGCCCAGTCCAGATGCGCCTCACCCTTACAGAAACACAATGGGTCCGCTGCAGCAGAAGTCATGGTGACCATTGTATCTCCCAAGGGCACTGAGAGCCCTCCCAACTCTGCCCTTGTGGCCACCTCCTGACATCTGCCCCCTTCCTGTCTGCATTTCGTTTGCCTTGCAGACCCCCTCCTCCTGTCTCGCCTTCGGTGCTTCCCCAGGACCCTCTCCAGTGCCCTCAGCCTCATCTTCCCTCTCCTCCACCCTGCTCTTCTTTCTACTGCTAACCCCTCTGCTCGCGGGCAAGGAAGCCTCGATCCTCTCCAAGCAAACGCCCACCCCGTTTTCTGTTCTTCCCATCACCCCTTCGTCCCCGCTGCACAGTCTGCAGAGGCTGGAGGAGACGTGGGAAGGCGGTGAGTGACCAGCGAGCAATGGCAGAAATGGCCGTAGGAGAGGGGGAGACTCTCTTGAATGCTGGTTGCCTCAGATCGCTCATTCATTCACTCAGCAGGAGGTTCCTGAGGTCCTACTCTGTGCGGACAGAAATGTCCTCCTCACTGTCTCTGTCCTCAGAGAGCTTCCCATCTAGTAGAAAGGCAAGCTTGCGCTTGAGTTAGAAAATGACCGGCGTTGACCCAAGGCCGCTGGAGGATTGCCCATACCGTCCTCATGGAGGGCCAGGCCTGTGCTTTCCAGGGAGCAAACTATGGACGCTGCTCTGGTTTACAAATATCTCCACGGCCTTGGTGGCCCCCGGTGGCAGAAGGAAGGCCTGAGCGTTGATGCTCTGGGAAGGTTCAATATAAGGGAGATATTCCCTTTTTTGGCTTTTAGTGGAAACCTCTTTGTTATTTTCCTGATAGTACAGGTTTGTTAAAAAAAAAAAAATCCAGCCCCACAAAGCGAGCAGAAGTCCCCCAATAATTACACCTCTGTGTCGTAGTGCCACCACCATCAGGAATTTGTGTCTATCTTTTCAGAATTAATATTTATAGAGATAGCCTCAGATTAAATATACTGTTCTTATAACCTGATTTTTTAACAAACCCATAAATTTCCACATTTTCCTGTATCAGTATGCATAAATCTCACTTATCTTTTTTCCTGACAGTTGTTTGTGAAGAAAATAACTAATATTCCATCCCCTATTGATAAACGTTTAGGCATTTTTCCAGTTTTTTCGCTGTTCCAAGTAATGCCCGTGTACATCTAGCAAAGTGCTGAGCTCCCCGTCCACAGAGCGGCTCGAGCCTGGGGTATCGCCAGCCATGAAGCTGCAGCTGGACCCAGAGAGCTGGGCCAGGTGACTGAGCCCATCCTCATCCTCCAGCGCCACCTGCCTGGTCACGTCACATCCAGTGCCACAGAGTCGATCGATACCAGCCCTGCCATGTTCACCTGCATGTCACGGCCTTAACCCTGAACCCATTTCCCAGTGTCCCAGGCTCCCAGCTCTCACGGCTTCTTATCTGGAGCTCGCTTTCCTCCAGACCGCGTGCTGGGCACCTCCTGGGCCTCAGTGGGGAGCCCCCGCCTGGGGGGATGGGCCAGTGAGCAAAGGAGTTGATGTTCAAAGCAAGAACCAGCCCTGCCTGGCATGGTCCCTCCTCTTCCTGGTCACCCGAACCTTGCTGCTAAGACACCCAAAGTTCAACAGTTAACATATCAAGGATCACCTGCCAGTGAGTGAGTGTCGGCTGAAGGCCCAGCCTTGTGCTGCCCTTGGGGGCCGCAGGGACGACGACTCAGGGAGTCCCTGCACGCGAAGCCCATGCCTGATGCTCAGGCTGAGGCTGGAGGTTATTAAAAAGGTTGAATAAGGATGGAGTCCCTGTCTAATCCAGGGGTTGGCAAACTTTTCCTGGAAAGGTATAGATGGCAACTATGTGAGGCTTTGTGGACCATACGGTCTCTGTCACAACTACTCAACTGCCCTCACAGTTCCAATCAGTTGCAGACAATTTGCAAATAAATGGGCGTGTTGTTTAGTAGATGTTTGTTTACAGCAAGTGGTAACTGGATTTGGCTTGAGGGAGACACTGGGTTAACCTCTGGTCCAGCCGGTGGTTCTCAACTCAGAGACCCACTGAAGCCCCCCACGGGAGTTTTAAATCCCCCAGTGATTGGGACGTGCAGCCAGGGTTGGGAACCACTCGTGTGAGTCTCCACCGGCAGAGTCTCCGCGGAGCAGGTGAGCCGGAGCAGCATGAAAGCCCACGTGACGCCCTCACCCCTCAGAGAGGGGGCCGGTCCGCGGCCGGGCCTGCCTGCCTGTCGCCCGAGTGTCCCCCTTCTGGCAAGAGCTCGATTCCTTGCACAGGCGCAGCCCTCACCACCAGGTTTGCCAGTGAAGTGACAGATCCGCAGGATCTTGGCAGCTGTCCAGTGAGTGGCAAATGTGACAGCGGTTATGGCCAGGGCTGATGACCCTCTGGGGAGGTCGTTGGGGGTCCCCAGGGTGCTGAGCTTTGCGTAGAAAGAAAAGGAACAACTGCAAATGCAATTAGGTGACAATTTCCTTTGATTTGAACAGTAATTGCCTATAGAAAATGTTATGTGCTTTCTGAAGACAGGCATTTTTTTTTTGACATGATGACATGGGAAATTACACATTCAAGTACATGCCTTGAAGGGTTAATGGAGTGATCGGGGTGAACAGTGCTTAGGAGGGCCAGCAGGCGGGACCTGGGCGCCTCGGGCCCTCATGCACGCGCTGTGTCGCCTCCTCTCTTGGACTTGAGTGTCTGCTCTGTGAGCTGTTTGAGTCTGGACACAGCCTTATCATCTTGAGTCTTGATTTTCTCTTCTGATAAATGGGCATCATAATGTGCCCATCTCTTAGGGTGGTTGTAAGACTCAGTGAGTTAAGAAATGCTTTAGCTCCTCTGTTTATAGCTCTTAGAGCCCTGCTTGGCACTTGTCACCCTCTTCAGTGTCATCCCAGCCGTTATCGCCATCTTCCTCACCTCTGGGGCCTTTATGGTCTGACACTCTGACCGCCTCACAGGTCCTGATGAGGAAGGATTTTGTTTTAACATATTGGCCAATGCTCCTCCCTAACCCATCACATTGTTTCCTCTCTCCATCCTTTAGACCTGACCCACTTGTTGCCTGAGGAGGAAGGATGCTTTGGAAGAAACAAGAACAGCTTCAAAGTATCAAACATTCCTGAATTCAGGGCAGAGGGAAGCTGGGCGATCACAGCGCAGCCTTCTGCCCCAGAGAGACAGTCGCCTGCTTTTGGGACCAGGAGAGTCAGAGCAGGAGCTCAGAGTGAGAGGACACTGTGGGGACCAGAGAGCTGAATGAGCGCCAGGGGAAGGTAGCAATAACCAAGGTACCTTCTCATATGTCCAAGGGAGAGACAAATAAATTGGTGGATTGTTTAAATCCTTATTATTGTGGGTCTGTTTACACCCACTCAGCCTGTATCCCAACCAGAGCCACCACCGTCACCACCACCATCATCACTGTCATCCCCATGCCACGGACGTGCAGTGGAAGCGGAGACAGCTTGTAACTTGCGGAGCTCAGCGGTGTGCTGGTGAAGCGAACAGCTGGCTCTCCGGTGGGAAGGAAGGGCCCCGTGCGCGGTGCTGTGGCCTTCCGCGGCGGGCCTGCTCCCGCCATGGCTGATTTGCAGCTGCCCAGGGGCTGGGCTGTGACTTGAACTCGGGTTTATGGGTCCCTGAAGCTTGAGTGTGGTCCCCTGTGCCCTGCACATTCCCAGCGGGCAGGGGGTTCTCGGTCAGACGCCCCTGGGTACGCCGGCACCGTGAGGTCCCAGTGGAAAGTGGGGCCAGCAGATGTGCAAGCAGCTGTGTGGGCTACGACTGCACCGTCACCCAGTCGTTCCCTCAGTGACCCACAACATCTGGAATCTGAGCGAGGCCGGTGTTTGCTCTTTTTGAGAGAAGAAAAGGATGCAGGCAAGTGACGGCAAGTGATGTAAGCAGAGGGCTCCGAGGATTTGAGGATGGGCCAGACCAATGTCTTTTCTCCCCAGTATCTGCACTCCTAACTCCAGGGCCAGATGTGGCCGCTGCGGCCAGGGGCACTGGCGAGGGTCCCGCCGGGCCTTATCTCTGCCAGCACGTTCGCCAGCCCTGGGGCCCTGTCGTGTCCTCCCGCAAGCCGGCCCCTCTCTCACTGGCCCC